AAGATACTTTCATATATGGTTTGATCTTGATTCAATCAATTGGGTTCTAGAAACTCTTCCTAGATTGATTTCGGGTTCTGCTTGGGCTTGTGTTAAATTGGATGTTCAAAGATCACTTGAAGCTGCAATTGATTCAAATCATAGGGGGGAGTTTATAAGGATTTTGGAATCTAGAAATGAAGGAAATAGATTCATTTATATCCCCGGGGGAATATATAATGAGGGACCTCAGTTGTTTTTTAAGGCTCTTTCGACCTTTGTTGGAAGAGCACTGCAGTTTGGCAAGGATAGGGGCAATGGGATTGAAACAATAAAACCAAGTGATATCCTTGAGGTTGCTGTTGTAGGGGAGACTGTGTTTGATGCTCATAAAAGTCCCTCTCTTGATTCTAAGGACATGATTGAACTTGATGCAAAGCAATTGCATTCAAGCTTACTTCTGAACACATACAATGGAGTGGCACCTTCTGAAATATCTTCTGATCCCCATATTAGCATACTGCCCAGACCAGATCTTTCACAAGAGGAGTTAGAATCAAATCAAATTGGTGATCTTAATCTTGATAAGCAGGAGCTTAGTCATGATATGAGTTCTTCTTTGGTTAAATATGATGAGCTGGAGGGGAACACTCTTACAGAGAAGGCTTCCCAACGATATAATATTCAATACCCCCCACTTCCAAAAGTGCTTTTATCCCCATTTGTTGCTGAATTCATCCCCTTAATGCCCAACCCTTATGCTGCTTTTTTTAATCATGTGGAAGGCCTCGGGAAAAACAGCTCACTCAAGGATGATGAATTTAACAAGATTGATGATGGGAACAAGGTACTCTGCAACAATGCATTAGAAGAAATTAGGGATGAAAGAGAAGGACCAATTTTGTACACGCACTCGGAAGGAGAAGACAAGGCCTTCAATGACAACATCCTTAAACCTCTACAAATAGATTACTCCAGGATGTTCAAAACACCTTTTGACTTGGGAAGAGATTGTAAGGGAAAGCGCATCTACTCTCCTTTGCAAATAGTTACCAGAAGTAGGGCTAAGCTTTTAAAATAAGGAAGAAAGAAAACCCCTATTGGGTGGGAGGAAGGGTCAGACTCTTCAGAGGTTCCCTATGCAGAAGACATTAGAAATTTTTTCAAGCTTTATTGTCCAAATAAGCCAGAAAAACCTCTTCAGAAGCAATCTTCGAATAAACCTTTAGCGAAAAGCTAAAAGAAAAAGTCTAAGAAGAGACTTAAGAAGAAGAAGGGTTCAGGGCATGAAATGGTAGAATCAGATTAATCAAGATGGTTTTTTAATAGTTTCTTTGGTGCGTGACAAGTTGCAGAAGGGAATATTAAAAATTGGAAAGGGCAAGGCCTTCAGGATGACAAGGCAATTATCAAAAAGTATTGAGGCCGTAGACTTAGTTAAGATTCAAGGACTTCTAAACATTTGGTTTCCGGCACATGGATAAACCTAAGTCAGCTCCTTATGCTGTATGATTATTGGTTTTTATACGGATGTTCTTCGGGTTCACACAGTAGATGTATGCATATCTTCAATTTCATTTGGGTCTTTGAAACTCCTTAATTGGTTGTTTGGTTCTTTGCTCGCTCCATTGATTTATTGGTTTTCGAAGTTCTACCGCAACTGATTTCGGGTCTCTCTTCATTACTGCATTATCACTACTGGTCTTTAGTGTATGGTTGGCTCTCTTTTGGCTGGATTTTAGCCATATAACATCGGTCTATTGGTTTTATTGGCTTGACCTGATTGGATATTGGTACAACTGCTTGGAGTACTGCTTGGCGTACTTGTGTTCCATCACCTTGTTTGCTAATCTGGACACTCCTCCTTGGACTTTAACTTTTGTAATTTGAATCTCCCTCTCCTCTACGCAAAATTTGGGCCATCCTGGACATGCTTTTAGTTCCTATCTCTACATCAAGAATCGGCATCCAACACGACACATATGGACTTTAGCTTTTGGGACTCCTGAATTTTGATTATTTGTACTTCTTGGTTTTTTATTAGTACTTTTTAGGTTGCTGGGGCCATCTGTTGGGGCCCCCCTGCACTTTCCTTTTTTATCTCATTTTAATAAAATCATTTTTAAATTAAATAAATAAATAAATAAATATATATATATATATATATATATATATATATATATATATATATATATATATATATATATATATATATATATATATATATATATATATATGCTCCATCAGCAGGGATAAAGGCCCATCAGCTTTCAGATTCCTAAACCCTTGGATACATCACACAAATTTCCTTTCGGTTGTCGAGGAAAGATGGAACAAAAGCCCTACTGTTGGAGGTATGCATGGATTAGTTGCCAAACTCAAGGATCTCAAAGCTTGTCTCAAGCTTTGGAACAAAAATGAGTTCGGCCACATTTTTGATAACCTCAATAATGCTGAAAAGTATGCCACTACCACCCAGCAGTTATACGAAGACAACCCAACGGATGCCAATCGTGAAAGAGCCCAGGAAGCTAACGCCAGGTTCCTCCTCGCCACTCACAAAGAAGTGGTATATTGGAAACAAAATGCCAATGCCAAATGGCTAGAACAAGGGGATATGAACTCAAAGGTCTTTCATGCCTTCGCAAATGGTAAGAGGAAGAAGCTTGCTATCAATCATATTGTCCTTCCTTCCGGTGCCGGGCTTTCAGATAATTCCCAGATTTGCGAGGCTGCCATCAACCATTTTTCCAGTCAGTTCATGGCCCCTTCCGAACACCCCCTTTACACAACCTTTCTCATATTCCTACCCTCCTTTCAGAGATTGACAACAACATGCTCACGACCCTTCCCACCTTGGAGGAGGTTAATGTTAGAATAATAGACCAACACTAGAAGGGGGGGTGAATAGCGTTTGATCGTAGAAATCGCAGGAATTAAAAAATTTAAAAGAGATGTAAAGAGAAGAGTAAGAGGCACACCGATTTTACCCTGGTTCACCACAACTTGTGGCTAATCCAGCCTCCCGGGAGACTCTCTCGAGCTACACTACTATCTCGTTAAGCTTAGCGGTGCTTAACAAACCCTTACAACTTGAGAGTTCGAGTCACACGAACCTCAACGAATCCTTCAAAGGAAACAGCCCTTCCTTTGAATCAACCGAGAGAAATACTTTCTCTCAACGTGTCTAGGAACACAAATACACTCAAGAACGAGACTCTCTTATAGAGTAGATAATGAGTAAACTAAGTACGCTCAAGAACAACTCAAACTTCACACGTATTGGCTCTAAAAAGCTATGGAAATAGATGTTGTTTGAATGCAATGAAAGTAGGAAAATT